AGTTTTACTAACTGTTCCCAGGACACGGTGTTATTTTTCATGACATGTATAGTAGTTTGCTACATTGGAATAACTGCAGTCTGTGTGACAATGTTCAATGAAGTTTATGCAAATAATAACATGGCAAGGTGAGCAGTTATCTGGATATCCTTATGGCTTTGGAATGTTTTTGTCACTGCAAAAGATAAACATTTGGCGAAGCGCAAGTATCTAGTATAAATGCACTCCTTCAAGCTTGTCATTGATTTTTACCTTTCTCCCTAACAATTAGCAAAAGGTCTTGAACTGGATTGGGGCCTAAAATAATGGTATCTAAGGGGTTGCCCAGGTGCAAGCCTTGGGAGAATGTGACCCAGGAATTTTGTGGATTCTGAGGGTGAGATTTTCATAATTTACTAAGATTCACCGTCTTGCAATATCAAATATATTTTATATAAGATCTTTTCCCAATCTCTTTCTTACTATCAGACTATTTTGAAGACACTGCACCACAGAATTAGTCATGTCACTACCATCTGTGCCAGTGGGTGTCATACAGCTAGACAGTGTAAATGCACTGCAGAGACATCCCTAGCCTTTCACAGACCAAAGGACATTTATTGCATACAGGCTGCAGCTACCCATCAAAAATGTTTGCAGGGACATTTCTGATTTTAACAAAACAAATAATAAAACAAAAAAAAAAAATAACCCAAACAACCAACCCATAAAAAACCCACCACACCTCTAAAAACACATGGCACAGTAAGGTTTACTCATCGTGACCCAGACAACTGGTTTAGGTAGACAGCCAACTTCCTTGAACAAAACTAGCTATCAGGAAACCATTTACTGGAGTTGCAAAGAACTGTTTGTATGAGATTTCCGTACTGACGCAGAATGATTCAATGCTTTTGGGGACAGAGCCCAACACAACTGAAAGGCCAGTACTATTCCAGTCACCTCCTCCTCACTTTCTTCCCATTAACCTAACAACAATTTCAAAACTGAAAACTTTAGTTTTTTTTCTCTCCAGAGGTTTTTTGCCTGGTTACAACACTACTTTGCAACATTATAGTACCTCTATCAAATCACAAACAACAATTAAGGTTCACAACACTGCTGCGGAATATTATAAGCGGTATTCCACTTATGCATATGGGGAAACTGAGGTACAAAAATGAGTTTAACCTACAGCTTGCCCAAAGTCATAAGGGAAGTCTGGTGATAGTGCCAGAAATAGTACTCAGATTCTTAGTTCCCAGTTCTGTAACTTAACCATAGTACCTTATGAAGAACTCCGGTTTTCTATTTTTACAGCTTTGGGGGTATTTCCCACTATCTGTCAGTGTTATAATTGTAACCATAAAATATTTAGGGTTTAATAACTATAACTTGAATACACAGGTTGTTAGCCCAGTCTTTATATATATAAACAAAATGCCTTTATTATAGGCCCGGCTGGTAGCACCACCCATTTTTTAGGGTTGCACAGTCCTTCCCGTTATAAGACTGTTTTCAGTGGCTTATAACTTTGCCATACTTTAATTGTTTGGGCTGAAATTTTATATGTCAATTGTCTGCCTCAAGTGGAATTTTTCAACCAAAACCGTAGCCATTTCCAATAACAAGGCTAGGTTTTTACCATGTTAAAATTTCTGTGAGCTTTTCTTTGAAAAGCCCTAGCACCCCCATTCTTTGGAGCAGGGACTTGAAATTTGTAAAGTGGGGGGTGATCTTTCTGTCGGGGATGTGTTTTTTGCTGTCCCTGCAAAACTCCGCCCAAATCTGGCCTAGTTACAAGCCTTTGAAAAAAATCAGTTGAGACTTCCTGGATTCCCTAAAAATCCTGTCAGCACTAAGCATGTTCCAGCCTGGGGTTGAGCAGGTCTTTCCCTGCAGTGGCAGCTCAGGGCTGTGCCAAGTCAGCACCAGAACTGAGAGCAAGAGCCTGTCTCTCATCTGCTCTCAATGATCTGCCCCCTGCTGACCCAGGCAGTGTGGAGGCAGACATGCCAAACCTGTGAAAAAAATGCAGACATTGGGCTTGTTTTTGGGTTAATTGGCTTGTGAGTTGCTTGTTGGCTAGTTTTTGGCTTGTAGCTTGTTGCTTCTTCTTTTTGATTGGCTCCCGGCAAGCAGGAGCAAGGGTGGGGTAGGAGGGAGTAAGGGGTGCACAGCAGGCCCACCACAGTCCCAGACTGCAGGCCGGGAGGATCTAGTCACATAGAGTGTTGGGGTTCTTAGGGATTGGCTTGTTTTGGCCTTGTTTTGAAATGAGATTTGCTTGATTTCTGGCTTATTGTGAAAGTTGGGGTGCTTATTTACTGTGTGACAGTTGGCAATTGTGTGTGGAGGAGGAAAGCTGCCTGATTCTAAAGCAGAAGGGACAACACATGGACCTGGGGAGTAGACATGGAGAAGTAGACTGGAATAAGGAACTTGGGAGGGGATGGAAGCTGGGACTGGAGGCTGGCAAAAAGGGGAGAGGGCAACTGAGTCTGGGAGCCCAGGAAAGAGGCTGGGACAAGGATCAAAGAAGCAGTGGGGGGAGACACTGAGATTCAAGGAGCCCAGGGAGGGAGATTGGGACTGGAAAGCCAGCTGGAACAGGGAATGTGGGCAGGGAGGTTACTGGAGGTCAGGGTGGGAAGGGGCCTGGGAATGGCTGGGTAAAGAGGTTTGGAGAAGCAGGGTTTACTTGTTGGGGACACCAGGGCTTGATGGGCAAGGAGACTGGAACTGGGTGAGAAGCGTGAGGAATGGAGAATGGACTGCCTAGGTGAGGAGAATGGGACTGAGATGAGGAGACAGGAGTGGCAAAGAACAGGACAGGTAGGAGGGAATAGGGCAGAAGGGATCAAACTTGGGGTGGGAGGAGATAGATTGAAGGGTCTGTCTCCACAAAAGCATACTCCTAGAGCCTGGAATGGAACCTAAGATTGCTTAGTCTCACCATTTCTCTGCTGGCAGCAAATATCTGTGAAGCCCCCCTAGTATTGGTCTGCACAGAGCCTGACAACCTGCTACTTCTATCCAACATTCCTTTATCTTAAGTAGTAGGGGTCAGTGATAGATCTAAATGTTCCAACCTTGCTGATGAACCATGTGGGTGACAATGTGGTGTCACGTGATGGATTTTCTGTTTTTTCCATATATTTTTTTAAAAGCTAGGAAATCACACACACAAATAGCATGTGATCATGTAATCAAAGACTGTATCATAATGCATACATACAAGGGAAGCAAATTAAGTTTGCCCAGGGAACCCGAGCTTTTATCTCACAAGGGAGTCTGCTATTGCTATCAATTTTACATGGAAGGCATTCAGATACTTTTAGTGATGAGTGGCAGTACAGAACCCTAAATTAGCTAGCCAGATAGCAAATACTTTAAAAACTCTGAGCAGCTTTTCAGGTGGATATGGTAAAGGTTTGTGAAACAGGTCAGATGTGGATTACTAATCTATAAATCAGGAAATGTTTCTAGCACTTAATCCAGAATTTGCAGGCAGTGCTACAGAGCTGACTTTAACATCTAAGACCCACATAGAGCAGAAAAACAAAGGGCCTCATTCTGCCACCCTTACTCATGTTGAGCAGTATTTTACTTCACTAGTAATCTCACTGAAATCAACTGAACTTCTCAAAGTAATATTCAGTGTGAGTGACAGTGGCAGAATTAGGCCTAAAGAGGATAAAAATGCTTGTTCGGTTTTGTATTTTAAACAGGATCAAGGAGCTCTGCAGGACTGCCAGCTTTGCCAGAGAGAGTTGTATTGTGGGGAGGGAGATGAAGTGGAAGCAAATAGATTTTAGGATGTTAAATGCAGCAGTGCTAGGAGAATTGGTATAAAGAGACATTCATTCTCTCACTGTATGCTTCAAAAGTAATCAAATCCTGTGCCTAACCTGTTAGCGGACACAAACTTCTTTGCCTCCAAATACCTTGTAAAGATTTGTGCTTCTTTGGTCTTATGAAGGAGAGTCTTTATGTTCAAACAATACAACTAGACAAACTGTACCCTGATACCTTGCACAGCTCCTGTATCTTTATAAAAGAGTCAGGCTGGAGCCTAAAATATTTACAGACTTATTCTTAAGGATCGATGATGCATATATGAACTGGAGGTTTTACATCAAGCTGAAGCATAGATGAGAGGAATAAGAAGAGTTCTTTGCAGATAGAAAAGGGAGCGCTCAACTACAGAAAACTACCAAGAATTTACAAGAAAACTATCAAATCTTATTGCCACTCACCAGAACAATTCTTAAATTAGGGGTTCTCAAACTGGGGGATCAGGACCACTCAGGGGGTCGTGAGGTTATTATATGGGGGGTTGGGAGCTGTCAGCCTCCACCCTAAATCCCACTTTGTCTCCAGCATTTATAGTGTTGTTAAATATATTAAAAAGTGTTTTTAATTTATAAGGGGGATCACACTCAGATGCTTGCTATGTGAAAGGGGTCACCAGTACAAAAGTTTGAAAACCACTGCCTTAAATATATGTTTCTGTTCAGTTTCAGAGAATGAAAGTGAAGATTACCCCACACTAAAGTTTAAATTCTCATCTTCATCTTGTTTCACCCCCACCATACACATCTTCACTCCTGTGAGGTCTCTGGTATCAGTTTCTGCAGTGGCCCAAATATCTTCCCTCATAACTGCTTCTCCACAACTTGGCCTTAATACTGACCATAATCATGGCAAGAGCTGCTGGCTCAGAATCACACGGCCATGATGATGCGCATCTCTCACCTAGGTGTAACTGCTCAACAGCCTAGTCCTCACCTGAGACATCCAGATATGAAAATATGCTTCCCAGTACAAGTGGGATTCCTTATTCAGTCTTTGGCTGTAAATCTGACTAAATCATTACAAATAGGCAGTGCTACCCTCACTCATGACACACACCTTTTCCCTGCTCCAACACTGAGCCACTGCTTTGCTCCTTAAACCTAGTTCGAGACACTTTTGCCTCATTTTAGGCAGAGATTTAAAGCCTAAGAACTGTCTCTTACCTGTCCGATAGCCAGTGTTGTTGAGATACACTGCAAAGGTACGTGGTTCATGCGTTGCTTGCCAGGAAGGAGAAGAGCAGTTTTCGTTGTTGGTGTATATGTTGTGGTTGTGAACGTATTTCCCTGTCAGCATGGAGGACCGAGATGGGCAGCACATTGGGGTGGTTACAAAGGCGTTGATGAAGGTAGCACCTCCATTCTCCATGATCCTTCTAGTCTTATTCATCACCTGCAAAGACCCTGAAATAAAGAATAACTGATTTTACTATACCACTACTAAGAAACATCTAAAATATATTTATGTCATGTCACCTGATATTTAAGTATATAAATGTATAATTACATTTGCCGTCTGTTGTTGGCTTGGAACATTTAATTGACTAGCTCTAATTTTAAAGAAAAAGTAAACATTGTAGATCATGTCACCAAAAACACTTTGCAAAATTCTAGGAAGTTTGAGCTCTTTTCTTGCTCAGTCACAAAATAAAAGTGTAGATTAATCTGATAGGCAGATTCACAAGTCAGCAGCCGGTTGAACATTATTGTGCAAAGATAGATGGTGCCATAGAACACATCTCCAAAAGACAAGTAAAACAGGTACCATTCTAAGAATTAATAAGCTCTATTTGACATTGAAGACTCAACGAAATTCTCTCCTTTAAGGGATAAGAAATTTTAATATTTGCCCCACTTCTAACTAATTTTTAATTTGATTTAGAACTTGATCCTGCAGCCCCTTACTCATGTGAATATTCTAACTCATGCGAATATTCTAACTCATGCAAGTTGATTCCCATTGAAGCCTGGGACTTCTCACACATGCACTATTTATAAATGGCTATTTGACTTCTCAAAAGGATTAAAAAAAATATTGTTTTACTGCAATACATGCAAAACAAATAAGCCCTTACAATATTAATGGAGTATTAGGCTTCAACAGCTTTTGCAGTCACCCAGCCAACAGTGATTTAATTATACATTTATCAAGTAGCAAGCAAAGCACAGAGTTATTTTTTAAAAATCACATTAAAAAGAGACCACATGCATTGATAATAACCTCACTGGGTGAAATCTCTCCCCGTGCAGAGGAGCAGCACACAGGCCTCTGCAATACCTAAGTTCTGTGTTCTGAGTCAGCTTAGCATTTGTGGTTGAATCAGCAAAATGATTTTTGATAGCAGTCCCAACCAAACTCCTGATCATTATGATCACATCATTATGCCTGGGTCTAGCCTAAGGACTTGGAGATGGTTATCTCAGGGTTTGTTTTTTTTTAACCTTTTGAAGCTCAACAAACTCATGTTGCAGAAAAAGATGAGGGCAGTAGGTGGGATCTTCAGGTGTTCAGCAGCCTCTTGCTGTGAAATGGTGAGCCCGGTTGCTTGTGCTAGGGTCTGTGAGTACTTGCTGATAGCTACCAAAGTTTTGCAATGGTCAGTTGTCCAACAAGCCAGGAACTCTTGGGGGGATGGGATGGGGGGCGGGGGCAATAGGCCAACAGTCACTAAGGGGTTTTGTAGTTTTACAGCTTTGGGGAATTTTGAGAAGTGGATTTTAGCTTCTTTTATTATATTTTAGTTTACTTTGCACAGCTCAGAGCACTTTGCTTACAGTCAGTTTCAGTGTTTCCCTGTTCTTCTGTATGGGTCTATCACAGAGAAACAGGAAGAAGAAAAATATTTTAAAACCATGAAAAATGGGATTGTAAAGTCACAAAATTGCTAGGAAGGCTCAGGGCCAGGTGTAGTATCTGAACTTATCTTTAATTATTTTGAGGGCTGTCGATTAATTGCAGTTAATTCACACGATTAACTACAAAAAATTAATCACGATTAAAAAAATCGTGATTAATCACGCTGCAGATTAATCACTATAGAACACCAATTGAAATGTATTAAATATTTTTGTATGTTTTTTACATTTTCAAATATATTGATTTCGGTTACACCACAGAATACACAGTGTACAGTGCTCACTTTGTATTATTATTTTTTATTACAAATATTTGCACTGTAAAATGATAAAAGAAATAGTAGTTTTCAATTCACCTCATACAAGTACTGTAGTGCAATCTTTTTATTTATTGTGAAAGTGTAATTTACAAATGTAGATTTTTTTTGTTACATAACTGCAATCAAAAACAAAACAATGTAAAACTTTAGCACTCACAAGGCCAATCCGTCCTATTCCTTGTTCAGCCAATCACTAAGACAAAGAAGTTTGTTTACATTTACGGGAGATACTGTTTCCTGCTTCCTATTTACAGTGTCACCTGAAAGCGAGAACAGGCGTTCGCATGGCACTTTTGTAGTTAGCGTTGCAAAGTATTTACATGCCAGATATGCCAAACATTCATATGCCCCTTCATGTTTCGGCTAAAATTCCAGAGGACATGCTTCCATGCTGATGTTGCTCATTAAAAAAATAATGTGTTAATTAAATTTGTGACTGAACTTCTTGGGGGAGAACTGTATGTCTCCTGTTCTGTTTTACCCACATTCTGCCATATATTTCATGTTATAGCAGTCTTGGATGATGACCCAGTACATGTTCATTTTAAGAACACTTTCACAGCAGATTTGACAAAATGCAAAGAACATACCAATGTGAGATTTCTAAAGATAGCTACAGAACTCGACCCTAGGTTTAAGAATCTGAAGTGCCGTCCAAAATATTCAGAAGTCTTAAAGATCAACACTTAAATGTGGAAACTACAGAACGTGAAGCACCAAAAAAGAAAATCAACCTTCTACTGGTGGCATCTGACTCAGATAGTGAAAATGAACATTCATCGGTCCGCTCTGCTTTGGATCGTTATCGCGCAGAACCCATCATCCGCATGGATGCATCTCCTCTGGACTGGTGGTTGAAGCATTAAGGGACATCTTATCTTTAGCGCATCAGGCACGTAAATATCTCGTGATACCGGCTACAACAGTGTCATGCGAATGCTTGTTCTCACTTTCAGGTGACATTTTAAACAAGAAGCGGGCAGCATTATCTCCTGCAAATTGTAACCAAACTTGTTTGTCTGAGCGATTACTGAAGTAGGACTGAGTGGACTTGTAGGCTCTCAAGTTTTACATTGTTTGATTTTTTGAATGCAGTTATTTTTTTTTGTACAGAATTCTACATTTGTAAATTCAACTTTAATGATAAAAAGATTGCACTATAGTACTTGTAGTAGGTGAATTGAAAAATACAATTTCTTTTGTTTTTTACAGTGCAAATATTTGTAATAAAAATAAACATAAAGTGAGCACTGTACACTTTGTATTCTGTGTTATAATTGAAATCAATGTATTTGAAAATGTACACAACATCTAAAATATTTAAATAAATGGTATTCTATTATTCTTTAACAGCGCGATTAATCGTGATTAATATTTTTAATTGCGCAATTAATCGTGATTCATTTTGTTAATCTCTTGACAGCCCTAATTATTTTTAAACAATTTAGTCGATTTCAAGTTAACTGGTTACCCCAAACACTGATTTGTTGGTTTTTGTGGGGTTGACGTATCAGTGTTAGCAACTGAAATTTGACTTCGTCTTTTGTATCAAATTTCCCTTTTTTTTGTTTAAGTGGGAGATGGAAAATGAGGAATTGGTGTTTTTGACTTTGTGGGAGTAGGGTTGCCAACCCTCCTAGATTGGCCAAGAGTCTCCCAGAATGGGCCTCAATCTCCTGGCTACTGAATCCAATCCAGGAGATTTTAAGCCCCTAAAAGTCCAGTGGCCCCGCGTGGCTCCCAGGAAGCAACCGGCATGTCTGGCTCAAAGGCGCAAGAACCGTGGCCTATGGGAGCTGCAGGGGTGGTGCCTACAGGCGGGGCAGTGCGCAGAGCCTCCTGGCCAGGCTGCCCTTGAGCCTAGGAGCCGGTCGCTTTCCAGGAGCCGCCCAAAGTAAGTGCCGCCCAGCTGGAGACCGCACCTCTTCCTGTGCCCCAACCCTCTGCCTCAGCCCTGAGCTCCCCCACACACCCTAACTCCCTCCCAGAATCCACACCCCATACCCTGTCCTGAACCCCGAACCTCCTGCCCCAGGATCAGCCCGGAGCCCCCTCTCCCGCCCTGCACTCCGAACCCCTCAGCCCCATCCCCAGCCCAGAGCCCGCACCCCCTCCCACACCACAACCCCGTGCCCCAGAAAGTGAATGAGGGTGGGGGACAGCGAGCAACAGAGGGCGGGGGATGGAGTGATGGGGCAGGGCCTCAGAGAAGGGGTGGGTCAGGGGCATGGCCTCAGGGAAGGGGCACGGCAGGAGGTGGGGCAAGGGTGTTTGGGTTTGTGCAATTAGACAGTTGGTACCTCTATGTGGGACTCCTTACATCTCTCCTTTGAGTAGTCTAGTCTGCCACAATACTGTATATGTGACCTTTAAAGATGCACACTTTGCAGGAATGGGCCCATGGTGAGTCGAGTTCATTACCCTTTCACAGATGCTCTTTTCACCCTGCAAACTTGTATAGAAATGTGTATAGGAAAATATTCAACTAAATATAGACAAAGAGCAGGGATTTAAAGATACAGAATTTAGGAAAGTAACTGCTCAGTTCTGCTGCTGCTACTACTGCTGCCGCAGTACATTACTGTCAACGCTGGGACTTGTGAAGAGCAGATGGTGATCTTCCCTTACATTCCTGAGACGCTGATTGTGATGTCCCCGTGCCATAGAGCCAGACCCTGTGGATAGGATCCCACTGATCATTACATACAGTTCAAAGCAAATACAATTTATTAAACAGCAATCAATTAAAAAAAAATAAGGAAAAAATGGAGAAGGTTAAAGGAAAATACATAACCCCACTCTGTGGCATGGGGATATCACAACCAGATAAGGGAAATTCAGTTTGTTCCTCACAAGTCCCAGGCCTCCTTCTCAGGCCCTGGCTGTGCTGCAGGGATGCTGCAGGTCAGACACTTGCTCTGGCAGTGGCCACACGCCCTCAGGCTTTAGATGGTAGGACCCTTCTTCCCAGCATCGCCCCTGCCCCGTCGGGGTTACGATCCCCCTCCAAGTCTGACCTGTGAAGCCTCTTGGCTGGGGGCATCTCCCTGCACTGGGCCCACTGCCCAGGGTCCCCCTTGCTCTCCCCAGCCACTCACCTCACCCGGCTCCGGACTGCTCCAGCCCCAGCTGCAGATTCACTCTACCTCAGCACTGTGCTCTGTCTCTAGCTCCCTGGGCTGCTTCTCTGGCCCCTCTGGCTCTGGTTTCTACAGCTCTCCGGGCTACTTCTGTGCCTCTGCTCCCAGCACTGACCTGCTTCCTGGGCTGCTTTTCTGGCTCCTCTGGCTCTGGTTACTACAGCTCTCCTCCCAGCACAGGTCTGCTCTCCAGGCTGTTTCTGTGACTTTGCTCCCAGCACAGCTTGGGCCCCTGCTCTCTCCTTAGCTCGGCCCCACTCTATCTGACCCAGGCAATTCCAGCTCACACAGAGGATGGGATCCCCTGGCCTCCTGACTCCCTCATTAGCCTGCCTGCCCTGTCAGTCAGGTTGACCTGAAGTTTCACATTGGCCTCTCTTCATTGTTCCAGGGGACTGTGAGTGTCAGGGTCCTGATTTCCCATTGACCCTTCCCCTTACTTTTGATACTGGGAGCTAGCCAACCAAAAAACCCCCCACTGAGTTTTAGTAAGGGACCAACAGTCCCCTTACATACAGCAAAATACAAGTAGGATATGAGACTTGCTGGTATTAACAAGTTACAATTATCTGCCATCTGCAGCTCTCCTCACTGCCTGTGTACCTTGCCATCTGGAGACAGTCCTCGGGGCACACATGCAGATTATGTCAGACAACAGGACAATGATGTTGTACGTGTCTAAATTGGGGAGGACCTGAAGGGTACCAGATCCCAGGGAATGTCCAGTCTGGTCATATGAATTAGGAAATTTTGTCAGATCAAAAAATTCAGCCTGACTGCTCAGGATATTCTAATGGAGACCATGTCCAGTAGCCAAAGCTTTATCCCAGAGCAAAAGCTTATGGGAGGAAGCATTACTGCTACTGGAAATTTTCTTCCAATTGCCCCACAGATAGAGGTCTCTGAAACTGCATCTGCTAACCAGATCTCACAATCACAAAACAAAAAGCATTTCTTTGGTTCCCATGCAAGAATGCAGCAAGGAGAGAGGACTTTTCAAGTCTCTGGATACGTTCAGAGTTTCTGTTCCTGTGTGTGCCTCTCTCAGTACTGCAGAAGTTCTACTGAAGGTGATGAACAACAAACCAGGAAGATGCCTGTTGAGGCTCCCCACACTGGCTGGCCCGTCTGTGATTCTACTGTATTTTCAAGCTCTCAGTGGCCCAGCTTAGAAGATGCTATTTCCCATATGTGAAAAATAATACATCTTTATTCCCCATTCATAAAAACAGATTAATTTTGATTTCAAGAACAGGTCATTATGTTTATTTTATGTATGTGTGTGCGTGGAAATAAAGCCACATTATTTCCCTCTTCCCACTATACAGGTATCAATTTGCACACACTATAGCAACAATTCCCAATTTGTGGGTCACAACCCCAAATCTGGTACCTACAAAGATGTTTTCCATCAACTGGAAATCCCAATGAGATTTTATGAGTCCCATCTCCTTCATGACATTATACATTATACATTGTATAATGTACTGTTGTACTAGGGGTTGAGTGAACCTGCGTGTGTGTGTGTGTGTGTGTGTGTTCTTCATTCAGGATAAATGTAAAAAGCTATCAAGCACGTTTATGGAATAGATAGCTGGAACAATAGAGGCGACCCCCCAAAACATAGGCCACATGCAATGCTGCACAGGAATCTGAGCTATGTGGGTGGAGGGGTTTGACTGCAGGCTGAATGCAAATGGAGGGGACCATATGAGGGAAATTGAGAGATTGACCATGGAGACAGACAGAGAAGGCAGCAAAGAAGAAGTCCCAGAGACAGCCAGAGAAGCACGCGGGTAGCCTGACTCTGAAAAAAAACAGTGAAAGACTTTGGGTAGAGTGCTGGCTGGAAAGAGGCTTGGAATTGTGAGCAAAGAAACTGTATCCTGCTGTTTGATTCCTACTGTGTTCAGGGTAACAGGACTTTATGTACATTCCTTGTAAAATACACAGAGTTGCATCAAAGAAACAGCTGACTCCATCAATTTCTCCTAATTGAAATAAGTTATTCACAAGGCCCTGAATATTGGCTAGCTGCTTGGGTTATAAGGGGAAACATTATTATACACTATCATGCACTCTGTGGTAATTCCCAGCTTCCTGCAAAATTTTATTTTAGATTTTATTTCACTGTTCTGTATAACTCTAGGACACATGGGAGGTGAATTTTATGTATTTTGCTTCAATGATTCTACACTAAGAAGGCAAACATCTTCTATTACAAAGTATGTGATTTGCATAGTTATCAGATATATCGTGCTCAAAATAGAATAGAGAATCATTTATGTTGGAATCCTAAAAGAGTTTGTTACATTCCATAAGTCTTAGACCTCCTGATGCCATGGCATAACCAACTCTAAATATTTTAAAGGAACTGAGCTTTGCCCACGTGGGGTCATAAACAGAAAAATGATGACTCATATGTAGAAAATAATGTATCTTTATACCTTTCAAATAAGCAGAATGATCTATTGTTGAAACTGCAAAAAAAAAAAATGACATGCCTTGGGGACAAATCCTGGTTCAATGTGCAAAGGGTATGTACATTTTCTATGCATGGGAAAACTATGCAGGGATTGTGGAGAACAGAACATTCCTTCAATACAGTGGTGAGGCATATGTACAAGCAGGTTGCAGTGGTTTCAGCCCTCTGTGAACCCCTAAGCAAGTTTCTGAGTCAGCAGTTCCAGTAGGTGAACAGAGAGATTTACTACATCCTTGCTACTCTCCCAGCATACCTACAATCCCCTCTCCATGGTCTTGTGAAGACAGCTGCCAGAAAGCACTGTTCTGTGTGCACTTTCTTTTCTACATGGCCTCTACAGCCTGGCCCAGTGCCCAGTGGAAATGGGCCCCTGTTTAGCCGTAGAAGGGAGGCCAGGGCTTGACCCTTGTACAGAAATTTCCAAAATATCTGAAACTAAAAGCAACAAGTCTACATAATAGCTCTAGAATCTCTTAGACGAATAATATAGGATTGTTTATAACCACTGGATGGCCATTTATTACACTGCACGGTTAAATAAACCAGTGATTAGAGAAGACACAAATAAAATAGATTAGACAGACAGATCTAAGGGCTCAATGGGAAAACTCACTATGCTCAATGACAGGATTAGCCCTAAGATAAGAAATATGAATTTATTATTTGTGGACTAACAGCCCCAAAAGTTGTACAGTCATTACCAAATCATAGCAAATACAAAAATGCCCATAATTATGTAAGTTTAGTGGTTAATATCTTTCTAGAGCATTTAAGGGAAAATATGCCAAGAAGGACTTCTTGAAGATCATATAAATATTTTAAACACTTTTTTTCCTCAGAAAATTATGAGAAAATCATTTCCTACATGTTGTCCAAGTTGTGAACAACAACAACTGCATATACACAGGACAACTAAACTGGCCTCCTTTCCTATAATTGACATGGTATGAAAATAGCTTAACTTTAAAGATATTTAAAAATTACATATAAATAATATAAACTTGTGAGCTGAAATTAGGTCAAGTTTGCATGTGTGTGTAAGATATCAGATCGTATGCTGTACATGACAAAAAAGAAAATATAGCTTTTTATCCATCTGGTACCATGCAATAGGTAACAATAGCATCAACTTTTTAAAGAGTTATATAAAAGCAGACTGTCAGAACTAACTTAAGTATTATTAATTGAATTTCTTGTTTTTTGAAACTGTTTTTGGCCCTATATGTTTTTACATACTGTATTCCTCCCAACCTCCTAGGTTAACATGGCTGATTGTTAGATACTTATCCCCTAAACTGGAATTAGTTGAGTTAAATCAGATGAGCAATAAAATGTATAATACAATTTTTAACAATATAATTTCCAAATTGGTGAACCATGTCTGATAACATTGCAGAACAGGCACATTTTTGAATGTCAATTATCATGTATAGCAGAAGTTACTGAAATACGTGTGTAAAGAAACCGAGTAGCAAATAACATAATTATGTCTCACCAAGCTCCACATCTTGGTCATCTGTTAGTACGAGAATAATGTTGGGTCTGATATTTTTTCGCTCCTGCTGCACACGTCCTCTGAATCTTGGGGATTTGACAGTAGTACAGAGACTTCTTAGCAAGTCAGTACTGAGCACAGTCAAAAGGAGTGCAAAGCAATAATATTTCATTGTAGTTTCAATATCACAAGCAAAATAATTGCCCCAAAGTGTCTGTTCCTTAGTTTTCAAGATCTGTGGAGAGAAAAAGATTAAAATTGAAATGCTGCCGAAACAGTGAATAAACTGGCAAAAACGTTTGGAGAAAGGTGATATTCAGAAGTCAAAACTAGCAAATACAGAATAGTGTGACAGCAACTCACGTAGATTAATAGTAGTTTTATACTAAGTCATCTTCTGAGAATACACTGAGACATTTTGCAACGTCACTTTTCATTTTACTTTTGCTCCAAGTTAGTCTATGTATTCATACAACTTCCCACGTACACCTCACACTTCACACCACACACCCCTTTTTTGTTTTCAGCACAGTGTTCCTTAAATGCAGTACCTGGGTGTAGTAATGAATTGCTATGATGCAGAGATGTTCAGAACATCTGTAGGAGGAGCTCTAAAAGAAGGTAAAAGCAGAAGACGTGTTAGTCAAAGACCTCACAACTTATTGTGCTCTGAACTAACTCTCCGGAATTGCACATCAGAGCTTTTCTTTCATCTACTAAACGAGAAAAATAGAAGAAATCTACGTTCACCATTGCTTACATAATGGCATATCTTCCTTGTTGGTTAGATGGCACCTTTGTGTTTAGAGGTAAGTGAAATATATAATCTTGTCATTGCCATATGTCTTTGTACAAAATTTATAATCATCCTGTGAAATTCTCAGAATAAGAAGTGTTAATTTCAGCCGGATGACACCTGGAAAGCAACAGAATTATTTTAGGTTAACTCACCTGCATGAGATATTAAACACTCATGAAGCAGACAGAACAGCATGGCTGTCATTTGTAATCTGCATTGTATCACCACACTGAAAAGTCATCTTTCTACTGACAGAGATCTCAGCTTAAGTGACATCCAGACAATCTTACCCAGCATTGTGAAAGCACGTAACTGTCTCTCATCAATCAACGATGGAACTGAGTGCATCATCTATAATGCACAGTACCTCTGGCAAACCCTTCTCCTCAATGCTCCCTTTTCAGATTCAGCTCAGTATGCTTCTCAGAACCCCCCTCCCGGTGCTTGTCAATCAAACAGCCTTGCTATTGTAAGACTTGATGCAAGCACCGAAGTTTTGCTTTGCTGCAGCAGATCTAAACCTGCAACTGAAAATGATTGATTGGTCTTGGGACTAAAGGTTAGCCACTTACACTTCAACATTTTTTGCATGACTGACTGAAGCCCTGTGAAAACATCACATTACACAGTATGGGAAAAAAGCTTGGAGTAATGCCATCTCACTTTAGGGCATTAACTTGCTGAAAGCATTTTTTTTTATTAATTTTTATTTTGGGACTACAGATAAACTGCAGAAGCCTCATAATTTTTTTTAAAAAAACAAGTCACACGGGAAAGTCTGCATGGGAATTGGGCTGCCCCGGCCTTAATTATAAGGGAGCACTCTTCCTCAGAAGGTCAGCACTCTCACACCTGAGACTTCATATTTAAACATGCAGCATTAGCTAGTAGCAGACAAACACCTAATTTAATGGGAGCACTCCATAACAAGAGAAAAAGGGGCCCATCACTCATCTAAAAATACAACAAAAGCTGATATACATCTTGTGAGGGAGAACTTGACACAGACTGCTAGAAAAGGGATACTGTGCTTGTTTTCACACACACCTGTTATTTTAAAAAAAGAAAAGGAGGACTTGTGGCACCTTAGAGACTAACAAATTTATTTGAGCATATGCTTTCGTGAGCTACAGCTCCCTTCATCGGATGCATTCAGTGCATTTTTTTTTCCACTGAATGCATCCGATGAAGTGAGCTGTAGCTCACGAAAGCTTATGCTCAAATAAATTTGTTAGTCTCTGAGGTGCCACAAGTCCTCCTTTTCTTTTTGCGAATACAGACTAACATGGCTGCTCCTCTGAAACCTATTATTTAAAGCTTCACAAGATATCCTATAAACAGTTTCATACTGCTCACTCTGCAGGTTGTAATGACACCAGAGGAGTGTGAATGTCTTTCAAACAAAAATCCAAGTGTCTGTTGCAGAGTAATCCTGTCTTCCATTGTCTGTTCACCAACAAACATTCTGGTCTATGATTGACTTTAGGGCAATGCAAAGCCAATACGCAGGGATCGGCATTTAGTGTTATATACCATTTTAGTGATTACAGGACATTCAGATAAGTAGACTGTAAGTCTGTAATTAGGCTGGAGTGACTTTTAAAAATACTTCAGTTTCCACATATTTGTTCCAACTCACAGAAAAGCTGACAAAGAACAGGATCACTGAAGAAATAAGATTTCTTCTGACAGACACCACAGGCTTTTGATGCAAAAGCAAAAATATAATTTCCCTAACTGTCTGATCTTTAAATAGCAAAACTTTGACTCACCTCACAAAGCTGGAAAAGATGTGTGAAGTGAGAGTCAATGTTTCATTTCTTATATCAGTTGTACTGTACAGCAAACTTTTTCAGACAATGTTGACCCAGAAAGTGCAGTCATCCTGACTGCACTGAGCAAACATTGGCACCAACATGTTTGAATAATCCCCCGCAGTATGAACTTCGAGTTCCTGACAATTACACCTCAGTGCTAATAAAATTTAGAACAGTCCAAACCAACATTACCAGCTATTCTTCAACTTGTTTGGGCTATACTAGTCAGTCAGTGAGGAAAAAAAAAATCCTTTAGCCTTAATTTTTTATTTTATTAAGCAAACATCCTAGTCAGACAATTCTTTTCTAGAAATAAAAGTATGAAGTTACTTTCCATCTATTTAATTTCTTTTTCTCTTGATAAGGGAGGACAAATGACTGAATTGAGCTAAAACTTAAAAAAAAAGTGACTCTTGCGCAAAAGCACAGAAATGCAATCGTTGATCACTCATAGAGCTCTGAATAACGGTATCCTCCCCCCCCCCCTTTTTTTTTTTGTACAGACAATTCTTTATTCAAAAGTGACCTTTTAAAACCTTCCATCCTCTCACAGGCTGGTTTCCAGCTCCAGAAGGCAATGAAGTACAGAAGAAAGCAGACAAAATGCAGAGCTTGATAGAGGAGACAAGGATGCAATGTTTGTGTTGGATACTCTTTCGGAGCCTACGAGTGTCCTTAGAGACATAGCAGTTTGTCTTGAAAAAGTCAAAAATAGGAGAGATTTTTAAGAGAGACCTTTTTTCTTTACACATGGCAAGTAAACTTAAAGGACTGTGCAATATCCAAAAGTCAAAACTCGACTACAAGTTCCCTTTTTCCAGACAGGTAAATGAGAACACTGATTGTAATTTAGATCGAAGCTATATGGAAAGTTTATATGTTTTTTATCAGTAGAACATACATAATGACAACTGAAATCTTAGGAAAATGGAAAACAAGAGCAAAAGAAAATTAAAAAAGACCATCTTTCCTCATTTGGATGTAATTTTTAGTTCACAGTCACTCTTTTTTTTTTTCATTTGAACATTAGGTCTTAGCTTGAGTTCACCTTTCTAACACGGGTGCGACAAAAATGAAAACTTAGCACTTCTGCTGGCATCCATATTGGTATTCTCAGAAGACAGGCTACGACTGATGGACATGAAGAATGAACTGCCCCTCATGCAACCCTTGAGATAATTCCTCCAGGGGAGGCTTAAACTAGATCAGTGTAGCAGTGGGAGGAGACTTGTGCTGCCACAGTTTGTGGTATGGGTAAAGAAGGCTTCCCTCTCCAGGGCTGTCAGTAGGACAACATCACTGGAAGGGAAAAAGGGAGGAAAGGATAATGACTTTACAAGCAATTCTCACATTTTGGCCAAAATTGTCAGGAGTGACTAGTGATTTTGGTGTCCCCACTATTTAGTGCCTGACTCAATATACCATAGAGGAGGGCTGATTTTCAGAAAGAGCTGAGCACTTTCCCTCTGAAAACTGGACTTCTTTACAATGTCTCAAGTTGGGACCCAAAAACTGAGGAACAATATATCACTAGTCAGTTTCAAAACTTTATCAATACCAGTACTATCCTGGAAATGTTTTGGCTTTTTGATTCTAACATATTTCTTGATAGTACCCCCTTGCAAAGAATATGAATAAAACTCTTGCTAGAATTCTCTAGGTTTAAATGCCACTTTTCATACACTTTGTATAATATCAATTACCCACTAAACATTCCTAAGTTTCTTTCTTCATTGTATACTTTAGAGGCCTAAGGGCAACTCCACAACCAGAGTCCTGGAGAAGAGGCCTCCAAACATCATGAGTCCCCAGCTTGCCTTTTTCTGGCAGAGGGAACCTGGCTTACTTGTATGGATCACTGATATGTCCCTAAATCTAAAGTCAGGCTTGGAGATAGTGAGCTAAGAAGCTGTGTGAGTGCCGGTGTGTATGATCATGTCACCCTCCAGTGGCTTTTCCACAGACATGGTAACGGAGCTACTTCTACCAACTAAGGGGGAATCTCCTGTATCACAGGTGGTATGTCCTGTGGTTTTGGAGCATCAGAACAAGGATTGTAGTCCTGGCTCTCCAGGTACATGTGCTCTATCTAATAACTGTCTGTTGGCTGCAGCGTGTAAATTAGTTTCAATAGGAATCCTAATGCAAGAGGCTTCTGCCCTCCTTATGTACTGGATGGTTTTGTGATTTAGGGTTCTATTCCCATCCTTGCCACAAAATCCCACTGGACAAATCAGTCTCTCTATATTTTAAATTTCCCTGTCTGCAAAAGTGGGTTAATTAAATATTGGTACTATAAATGCATGTTGTGAACCTTAACTAACATTTTGAAGGTGCTTTGATACCCCATGATGTAAGGTACTATGAAAAAGCAAAGAAATTTTTATTAATAGTAGTAAGGATACTAAGGATTCCAATATTAAATAAAATATAATAACCACCCATGGCATAACCATGATGGCCTCACCATATTACATATTACAGGCTGCTTCATCTCCTCTACAAGATAGACCACCCTTAATGAATGGGGAGGAGGAGAAAGCCAAAACACAATCCCAGACAAATTATCCTCATAGGACGTTCCAGATGAAAACAAACCAACACCACTCACTATGAGAAAACAGTCCTTCTTGACCACAAGTATGGTGATCAGTATAACTCTCTGGATGTTAGTGTAGATCAGCTGATTCAACAGGCTCTAAGTTTAACAACCTTGAAAAGAATCTGACCCCAAAACCCCAGCTTTCCCAGTTTCAGTAATACCAGAGCCTTCCTGAGAGAAAAGAAGAAGAAGAAGAAGGTGGTATGGGGATGCTAACGGTATTTTATAACTGCCTGCAGAGGCCACTCAAATTGACTGGTGGGGCTTCTAACCTGCCAGGCCCTGCATGGCAAGTCTCACACCAAAATCTGACAGACCTGGATGGATGGAAAAGAGCACCAACTTGGTGGTGGCTTGGCCAACCAGTCTCCCAGTGGCGGTCAGACTCCATGCTTCCCACCTATCACTTTCAGTCATTTGTTTTAACACAATGCAAAAACCCAACAGTGATTCTGAAATATCTGTACTGACTAATTCTGTAGTACTTAGTTATGCACAGCACTCATTTAACTTAATGCAGAGAAGCTCCAGGATGGGGTAGAAGAGGTCTAATTCATCCCTCAACACACATGCACAGCTTCTATTAATCTTTAATGTACAAACATCAACGGGAGATGAGACCCCTTAGTTTTAGTATTTAACACAATCTGATTTATAACAGGTACATTGTTAGAGACTTTGCCTGGATCATGAAATTG